CACAGAAGCCTGAGCGAGAGAGAGAGAGAGAGAGAGAGAGAGAGAGAGAGAGATGAGCTTCTGCACGTATGTCAGTGCGTTTTAACTTTATTACTTCATCCATTGATTGATTGAACTTGTGGAATGTTTTTGCAAAGTCTGGTCACTTTGTTGAGCCTTGGATTAATGTTTCTTTTACAATATAAAGTTCAGCGACTTGGACACAAAAAGAACTGTTTTCAGACGTAAAGGTGTGACGGTTGTTGACATCTCAAAGTGTTTGTAGTCCAGTTTTCATCGAGTTAGTTCCAGTGAACACGTGACACACATTTTCCAAACAACATCAAAAGTCGGTCGGTGGGTTCGCGAAAAACACTGAGCCCGTTCATCGGGGTCATGGAGGTCAGCTGACCCGTCCATGAGACCAATGAGAACAACAGTTTGCTACCTGACTCGTATTCCCACAGCAAGCGCCGTGTGTACCTGTGTGAGGTGATGCACTGACGGCCAGAAGCCCCCACTCGGTGATGCTGTCCGGTAAAGGGAGCTCCAGGTCCTTCCACGCCAACCTGTTGATGGGATTCACATGTGTGTCATCGCTTACCCAGGACCTGACAGTCAACTTTGGAAACTCTGTGCTAACGCCCACTTCGACTGCTAAGAACCTCGGCGTCACACTCGACAACCAACTCTCCCTGACTCCCAACATCACTGCGACAACGCGATCCTGTAGATACACGCTCTACAACATCAGGAGAATACGTCCCCTTCTCACTCAGAAAGCAGTGCAGGTACTGATTCAGGCTCTTCTCATCTCCCGCCTGGACTACTGCAACTCCCTCCTGGCTGGTCTCCCTGCCACCGCCATTTGACTTCTGCAGCTCATTCAGAATGCAGCAGCTCGACTGGTCTTCAACCTTCCGAAATTCTCCCACACTACTCCACTCCTCCGCTCTCTTCACTGGCTACCAGTGGCTGCCCGCATCCAGTTCAAAACATTGGTGCTCACGTACCATGCTGTGAATGGATCGGGTCCAGCTTACATCCAGGACATGGTCAAACCCTACATCCCAACCCGCACTCTCCGCTCTGCATCTGCAAAACTACTCGTTCCTCCCTCACTGAGAGCAAAACACTCGACTAGATCACGACTCTTTGCTGTCCTTGCGCCGAAATGGTGGAACGAGCTCTCTGAAGACAATCATCAATCACAGACAATCAGAGACGATGACAGGACAAGTAGACTCTACCCCTCTCTCCCTCCTCCTTGGCCTCCTCTGTTCTATCAGCTCTCCCTTTTACTGACTCCTTCTCACTCTTCCATCCGAACGCTGCTGCAGAGACTCTCCTCTCAACTCTTTCCTCCTCTCTAGACTCTCTATCAGATAGACATATTCACATTGAACACCTGGACCGACATTGGACATTGAATTGTACTTCTTAAGATAACATCAGTATTGTCTTGGTTAAACAAAACATAACTATAGACACAGTGTACAACAGACAGAAATGCATCACCCAAAATTGATAAACTACATTAACCCCAAACCCCAGATTTCACATCAATAGGTAGAATAGAAGCTATGTGAATACCAGGGAGGGGGGGTCTAATGAGTTTCATGTCACACAAACAGGATCTGCGGTGAGCAGCAACTGGACACCCGTCATCTCGCCGGGAGAAAGGATTTTCTCAGCCCAGAGTCTGCTTGACTGCAGTGCAGGACCAGAAGGAAGCACCAGGACCGACCGCAGAAGCCAGACCAGCACCCTTCGCAGAAGGACCAGCACCGCAGAGCCAGGCACCAGAACCAAGACCAGCATCGTTCTAGGAGGACCAGAAGCAAGACTACCGATTCAGAAAGGGTCCAAGCGACCCCTCGATCTCCCTTTTTGAGGGACAGTTCAGTTCCCAGACCACCTCACACTAATGGGGTACACAGCCGTCCCAGCAACCCTTCGTCCTCCCACTCCGGGGGACAGCCCAGCACAGGCATAACCTGTGCGGCCCAAGGGTCACATCGGGCCCATCAGTTTCCAGTGCAGACACTTCCAAGTTTCCACGCCCTTCTACTAAGACTGCCCCATGGACTTGTTGGGGATTTAAGTAGAAGTGCATGCCTAGTCATAGAATTTATAGTACATGTAGGAATATTTAGTCTAGAATTGTAGTTTGTGTGATGTTAGAGATTAGTTATTACATTAGCATGTTAGATGAAGTGAATGCAATATGGATCAAACTCAATTTATACTCATGTAAATCATATAAACACTGTAAACATTAACATTCTGTCATAATGTGATGTTAAAACCTGGGGACGGATGCTAATTGCCGTCCTTTATGGATTTCTCCCAATTTTCTCCCCAAAGAGGGTTTTTTGGGAGTTTTTTCTCCTGTCAGGTAGCAACTCCTTCGAGTGCGAGCAGAGATTCTCCTCGCGAGCAATTTTACGTTTCGTAAGCGAGCAAATACCTCGCGGAGACAAACTTTTGCTCGTGCGAGACGGACTTTTGCTCGCGGATGTTTGATTTTAGTTAAATTCTTAAGGTCATTTAATCATTATGTTTTGATCAGAGTTGTGATTAGGGTGGGCCGCGAAAGATTTTCAGATTTCAAATTGGGCCGCGGCATTTTTGAGTTTGGGAACCGCTGGTCTAGAGTATTGGACCACATGAGCTGTAGTAGATCTTATGATGTAGTGTGATGAACGGTGATCATTCATGATGTGTTGTAATTAACGTGTACTAGTTATAAGATGAAGACTTAAACTATGCATGCTTTGTTATATTCACTCATTGAGGCATAAACCCAACTGTATCTACATTGAATGCAGTGGAATGTGAGGGACAGAAAGGACAGGGAGGTTTCAGGTTACAGCTGCAGCTTCACACCTCAATGTGAGGGGGACAATCCAGGAGGAGACGCTTTGAAGGAGAAGCCAATGACATTCAAATGCACCCAAGAAGACACACCAAGAGTTTGCAAATGACCAAAGCGGGGAAAGAACTGATAGGATTCTCCTGCAGCCGCTTTGATAAGTCACCCTAGACTCATTCAGAATTCTCTATTTCGCGAAATATTTTACTGTTCGTTTTGTATTTCACTTTGTAAATGTATTCCTTATTACGTTGTTTAGTTATTAAATACTTTTTTGATTTTTAAATTTGAGCAAGTTGACTCTTTCAATTCTTTGTTTCCGGCCGGGACGAGAACAGAGGAGTGAGACCTCCCTCGAGGGCTTTCCCAACCCTTAACAGACTCTGAGAATGGTCGAGAAGTGAACCACTGCTGAGAGCTCTCACTGAAGAACTAACAGAACAGTGACATTGACAAACCCTTCTCTGGTTATTGGACTCATGATTTAGTAAATGCAAACAATTGTTTATTTCTGTGATAACATCAACATTATGGCCAGCATTCTATTCCTAGGTGGATGTTGTTGCATCCTCTGCATCAGGACTCTTTTCACTAGAGTCATAACCACCGCACTCCTCCAGGAAGACCAGCCCCATAATGCCATACGGTTTTATTAGATTAATGTATCCTGTGTCAATTTATTCTGTACACCTGATGAAATGTTGAATCCTGGTAGAAGATTTTTCAGTCTTTCCGACTTCTCCGACAGATTTCTTACTCGTTTTATTCCCAAAAGGGTTTTTGAGGGAGTTTTGTTCTGTGCCAGCTACAAGTTAACAAAGGGTGTCTAGATGTACATGTTATGATTAGAATGTGTAAGATCAAGCGTATCATATTGCATCGAACGTTATGGTGAAACAAATCCCCGATTCCTTATTAGAAGGATAGATGACAAAACTGATGACCGATGAACCGATGGTCGTCCTCCTGATTATTTTTTACACCAAATCTCACCTTATCTCACACACACACACCTCCCCCTCCACATGCATGAATGAATGATTTTATTTGTTGTTTAGATATTAGGATATCGTATAATTGTATATATATATACATATATATCTATATGTATATATATGTATGTATATATATATATATATATACATATATATATATATATGTATGTATATGTATATTTATAAAGCTAATGCAGTGTGATGTAATACAACAGCCCTGAACAAAATGTTCACCTCAGTAACGTTTTATGTGTTTCTTCCAATATGAATACAAATTAGATATACACCTGTCAGTGTAATCCAGTAAAGGTTCAACAGCAACACAAACTACGGCTGCTCCTCTTCATCTTCTTTAGAAAGATGTTTGACTTTATAACAACTTTGATCTGATCCATTGAGATGTTTTGCCTATTAATTATTTTATGTCTGATAAATTTTTTACTCTGGTGCTCCATATATATATATACCATTTTTATTTTAAATGAAAACGAACAAGCTAATAAAATACTTCAGTCAAGAACTGTATTAAAATGTATTGCTATCAGCAAGACCAGCTGTTGCGGTGACGTCATCAAGTCAGCGGCTGTTCCCATTGCGGAAATGACCGTTCTCTCGGACCTACGAGTCCATCCCCTGAGTCTGTTCCCCTGAGTCTGTTCTCCCGAGTCCTCCGTCTTCAGTATCGAGACAGGATGTCTATGCAGACGCGCTCCTTAGCGCCATCTACCGTCGGGGTGTTTGAAAAAGGAACGAACGAGTCTCGGACCAAAATCTGATTTTTCCTTTGCGTGAGAACTTGAATGTGAGGCGTGAGCGCGCGTGAAAACGAGTGGGCAGCTCCGGTGAAACGCTCGCACACCCTGGACGACTTGAGTCCGACAGACTTCTCTGTCTGCGCCGCGAGACTCACGGCAACTGGCGGTGCTGCTGGCTGCTCTTTCCTCTGCGTCAGCTTGGCTCTTCCAATCTTTTCCAACTGGGACGAATATGTGAAACAGCAGAGACTTTTTTTATTTACTCGAGCCAGACAGACAGGTGCAAGTTACGGGCAACCAACCTGGCTGTTGGAGAAGGAAACAGAGCGGCTGCACGCAGCGGTGGAGTCTATATTTTTGTAGTGAGTAAACTGTGACTGCCTTTCCTAGTGGGTATACGATATATGTCACGTAGACTACACCACTGGCTGCACGTACACTTGACATTAATGTCAGCTGTCATCAATGGTGAGATGTTGGAGACGGCAACGTGAAGAACCAGACGACTCTGCGTCAGCAGTGGTTTTCCTGCCACGTGGACACCTGCGGCTTATATATGTACACAATTAATTTTTCGTTATACATTTAGGTGGTGGGGTTTATATTCAGTCTTATATTATATTCAGTGCGCTCTATAGTCCAGAATTTACGGTAATTCTTTTACATAACATGTTTAGTCGTCATACCGTGATTCTTTAATACAAGAATAGCACATTCTTTGATAAAAACACCAGAGAGGGACACGTGACCTTTTAATGACTGAAACACAAGATAAAGATGAAGCTTCAACAAGTTCTAAATTTTCACCCAAACAAAACATGCAGAACAGAATTATGTACGAGTAAATACTGTACATGGAAGCAGACAAATATGTGTATTTTTTTGTCATTGTAAATAGGAGCATATGCAGTATTATACGGTGTATTTTTCAAGGTTATTTGCTTACATAGTTGGTCTTTATTATACCCTGTACATATATATTTATTTGGATAACACCGAAAACGTATTTACATGGTAATTTCTTTGCAATCATTTTATTTACAACGTGAAAACAGTGACATTGTGTGTGACCAATGAATTATCAGCATTTGTTTCAAAGCTCAACTATGATGTTTTCTTGTAAAGAAACAACGTCTACATGACGTTTTTTTGTTGCCAATCTTTGATCCCACGTTTTGAATGTCTTTCCTTCACCAGGGTTCGTTAGCTTATCTGCGAAACTGAATTTTACAAATACTTTAAAACCTAAATAGTTTGCATCCATGTTTTCTTCTCCTGGTGTGTTGCTGCTACCAGCTGTGAGTCAGTGGAACATCAAGAGATCAGCGGCGCTGCTCAAGGATTTAAATGATTATTCCAGTTAAAGATCTTTCATTGCCTCTTTCTTTAGCTGTTAGCATTGCCAAAACTAATTCAAAGACTAAATTCTGACTTCCCTCTCATGTGAAAGTTATATTTTATTCACTTCTGGTGTATCTTTCAATGGTCTTTCTAGTTAGGGGTCAAATGTGGCCCTCAGTAGGGGCCTCGGGGAGAGTGGACGTTTGGTTCAGTACACATTCTTCCTTTAACCATCAGGACGCCTTTGAATCGGACTCTGATCACAGATGGTTTGATCACTGCCAGTCGAATGGGATCAAATGACCCACACAGTCCATTAAAGTCTCCAGAGATGATGATCATAAGAACAATAGATGTTGCTTTCACATTATCGACTGTATATGAACGTGGTTGAGAAACTATGAGTGAGAATATGACACCTGGAAGGAGGCGAGATGATGTATCTGCATGAAGTGTTAAAACACATTTACATCCATTTGTGCACCTTCACTGGATATTTATAGCAGTAGTGTAGAGACGATAATATGTTGGTGTTAGTTTATTTCCTCAACAGTATCTCAAGCTTCAAATAACTCAGATTAAATGTAACATTAGCTGTTACAGGAAGTGAGTTCATATCTTCAATAACACACTTTTCTCTCCCCCACTTCCTCTTTGTCAGCTCAACTGACTGCAATTAAGATCAAAAGTCCTCCTGTGTGATGTAGAACTACAAACTTCAGATTGGATATTATATTTATATTATTGTGTTGAAGCCTCGACTGAGTCTATCGATGGTTTGGTCTGTTATTGACACTCAGCACTTATATTATGTTATTATTATATATTATGTTATTATTATTATATATTATGTTATATTATATTATGAACTATATATAAGCCCCTGATGTACTTTTGCACCTTGGGAGGGTCAGCCGTTGAACTTGCCGTAGGAAGATGTGCTTTTTGATACGACTAAAACACTTTCATATTAAATATCATTGAATATGAAGCGGTCACACACAGACGCTTCCTTCCCACAAAGCTTGTTTTTTCTGTTTCTGGGTCTCAGCGGCTTTAAACTAACGACAAAAGTAGAAAAGTTTTCATCCCAAACGGCTGCGACCTGGAGATAAACGCCATCAGGTCACTGTGGTTTGCAGCGGTTACTTTATTAATAAAAGCTCTTTCTGTGTGAAGTGGAAACCTGTACTTATATTTCTTTTAGAGTTGCTAACATTGAATTAACAACAAATATTTAGTGGAATCCTCTCTTATTTCTCCGTC